TCCCCGTTCCCCGTCCCCTGCCCCAGACCTGGGTCACCATCCTGTGCTGCTGCACCGTGCGCTTCTCCCGGAACTCCTCCGACTCCACGTGGATCTCGTACATGGCGCCGCAGCCTCCTGCCAGCCCGCCCCAATTAATGCCAATTAACGCCAATTAAAATAAATCACAGTGCCAGTTCAAGCCAAGGCTCGGGCACCCTCACACTCCTGCCCCTTCTGGGGCTGCCCGCAGCCCACGGGGGCTGGAGACTGACGGGGTGCCCCCGAAAACCAGGTCTGGGCAGCCAGGAGAGGGTTTGGGGCAATAATGGTGGGTTCGGGGTGATAAAGAGCGGGTTTAGGAACACAAAGAGCGGGTTTAGGAACACAAAGAGCAGGTTTAGGATCACAAAGAGCAGTTTTAGGCTCACAAGCGGGTTTAGGATCATAGGAGCGGGTTCAGGTCCCCAGAAGCAGTGTCAGGACCACTGGCGGGTTTAGGAACACAAAGAGCGGGTTTAGGATCAGAAGCAGGTTTAGGATCAGAAGCAGTTTCAGGATCACAAGCAGGTTTAGGATCACAGAGCAGGTTTAGGATCAGAAGCAGTGCCAGGACCACCGGCGCCCAGCCCCACACGGCCCTACCTGAGATGTCCACCACCTTGATGGCCGAGGCCCGCGGGAAGCGCTCCCGCAGCAGCCGCGCCAGGCGCGACTCCCCGTCCGTGCCGGAGGCCAGGCCCCGCCAGCAGCGGCAGCGCAGGAACAGCTGCGGGGACACGGCCCTGAGACCCGGGACACCGGGAACGGCCCGGGAACGGCCCGGGAAGGGCGAGGGGAGCACGGGAACCGGAGCTGCCATCACCCCAGGGCCGGGAACCGGAGCTGCCGCCACCCCAGGGCCCGGGCTGGGAGGGCGGCCCGGGTTCAGCCGTGCCCGGGGGGCATTGGGAGGAGAGGAAGCACCGGGAGCGGCGCAAGGAACGGAGGGACACCGGGACAAGGACAGAGGGACAGAGGGACACGGGACCGACGGACACTCACCGGGCCCCGGCCCAGCGCCGCCGCCGCCATCCCGGGGGCGCGCCGGGGGTCACCTCCGCATCAGCCAATCAGAGCGCGCCGCTGGCGGAAGGGGCGGGGCCAGCGCTGCGCCGCCACAGCGCCCCCTGGCGGCTCGGAGGACCAGGAGAGGCCCCGATGCCCCCACGAGGGTCCCCAAAAAGGGCCCCCTAATGACCCCAAAAATGATCCCCTCATGACCCCAAAAAGGGCCCCCTCCTGACCCCAAAACTGATCCCCTAATGACCCCACAAAGGGTCCCCTAATGACCCCAAAAATGATCCCCTCCTGACCCCAAAAAGGTCCCCTCATGACCCCAAAAAGGGTCCCCTCCTGACCCCACAAAAGTCCCGTCCTCCCCCCCTCAATTCCCATATCCAGAGTCCCATCCCGACCCCCAAAAGGATCCAAAAATAATCCCAAAAGGATCCCATCCCCTCTCTCATCCCACAGACGGACCCCCCATCCTGATCCCCCCTAAAGGACCCCAATTCCCATTCTCAGAACCCCATCCAGACCCCCCAATCCCAAAACCACAACCCCAAAACCCCCAAAAACCCCAACCCCAAACCCAATCCTGCCCCCAATTCCCATACCCAGACTCCCCAAAAAACCCCAACCCCAAAACCCCAACCCCAAAATCCCAAAACCCCAACCCCAAAAACCCCCAAAACCCCAATCCCAAAACCCCAACCCCACAGGAACTGCAGCCGAGCCTGGTGTTGAGTGCAAAAAATAAATATAAAATTTATTAAAACACCCACAATATTTTAAAGGTATCGGGAATAATAACACAGCCCAACTCAGAATAAAATACAAATTAAAAATAAACAACAACAGAACAAAAAAACCCCAAAAAAACAAAACCAAAACCGGAGGGGAGGATCCAAACTTGCGATTTTTAGGAATCCTAAAAAATAAATTTATTGAAACACTGGGGAGAAAGAAAAGGAGGGAAAAGGGGGAAAGAAACAACACAGAGAGAAAGGGAAAATGATACAAAATAAAATTATCGGCATCGATTTCCTGTCCTAGGAGTATCTACAGTTTAATTACATGTTAATTAATTCATTAATTAATTAATCCTATTGCCTTGAGACGTGGGAAAGAAATTCTAGCGCTCCTCATCCGCCCCGAAATCTTCATTTCAAGTAACCCCAGACCGAGCCCAGCCAGGAACCCCAAAAGGGTCTGGGACCCCCCGGTGCCTCCCCCGCAGCCGCCGCCGTCCCCAGGACACCCCAAAGCGCCGAGGAAACCCCAAAATGATCCTCAAAAGGAGCTGGGATACCCCCGAGAAAATCCCAAAATAATCCTCAAAAGGAGCTGGGATACCCCCGAGAAAATCCCAAAAGAAATCCCAAATAACGCTGGAATATCCACGAAAAAATCCCAAAAGAAACCCCAAAAAGCGCCAGGATACCCCAGGAAAAATGCCCAAAGAAATTCCAAAATAAATCCCAAATAACGCTGGAATACCCCCAAGAAAATCCCAAATACCCCAGAAAAAATCCCAAAATACACCCCAAAAGCGCCGGGATACCCCCGAGAGAAAACCCCAAAATGATCCTCAAAAGGAGCTGGGACACCCCCGAGAAAATCCCAAAATAATCCCCAAAAAGAGCTGGGATAGCCCCGAGAAAATCCCAAAAGAAATCCCAAATAACGCCGGAATACCTCAGAGAAAATCCCAAAAGAAACCCCAAAAAGAGCTGCAATAACTCTGAAAAAAATCCCAAAAGAAACCCCAAAAGAGCTGGGATACCCCAGGAAAAATCCCCAAAGAAATCCCAAAAGAAATCCCAAATAACGCTGGAATATCCACGAAAAAATCCCAAAAGAAACCCCAAAAAGCGCCAGGATACCCCAGGAAAAATGCCCAAAGAAATTCCAAAATAAATCCCAAATAACGCTGGAATACCCCCAAGAAAATCCCAAATACCCCAGAAAAAATCCCAAAATACACCCCAAAAGCGCCAGGATACCCCCGAGAAAAATCCCAAAAGAAACCCCAAAAAGACCTGGGATACCCCCAAGAAAACCCCAAAAGAAACCCCAAAAAGAGCTGGGATACCTCAGAAAAAAATCCCAAAAGAAATCGCAAAATAAATCCCAAATAACGCTGGAATAGCCGCGAAAAAATCCCAAAGGAAATCCCAAAAAGAACTGCAATACCCCAGGAAAAATCCCAAAATACACCCCAAAAAGAGCTGGGATACCCCTGAAAAAATCCCCAAATCAACCCCAAAAACTGCTGGAATACCCCAGAAAAAAATCCCCCCAAAAAATCTCAATTAATGCTGGAATACCCCAAGAAAACCCCCAGAAGAAATCCCTCAATAAATCCCAAATAACGCTGGAATACCCTCAAAAAAATCCCAAAATAAATCCCAAAAAAGCACCGGAACACCCCTAAAAAATCCCCAAAAAAACCCCCAAAAAATCCCCAAAAAAATGCTCAAAAAATCCCCAAAAATCCCCAAACCTACAGGAATAACCCCCAAAAATCCCAAAAGAAATCCCACCGTGCCGGAAGCGCCGCCCCACCTCCGGCCGAATTCCCGCATCCCACAAGAAACGCGCTCAGGTTGTAATTTTGGAATTGCCATGGTGCTATAAAATAAAATAAAATAAAATAAAATAAAATAAAATAAAATAAAATAAAATAAAATAAAATAAAATAAAATAAAATAAAATAAAATAAAATAAAATAAAATAAAATAAAATAAAATAAAATAAAATAAGCAAAATAAAATAAAATTTAAAAAAATAAAATAAATACAAAAAAGAGAATTAAAAAAAAGAATTTCCAAATAAAGTAAAATAAAGTAA